CACTAATTAACAAAGGAAGGCTGTCAGGAATTGGTCTACGGTTAGCAGCTCCTTTTCATTTACAAAATGTAAGCACACAACTGCAGAATAGTTGTTAAGAAAGAAAGAAGACTTAATTTTCCTAATTGCTGACAGTGAACTTCCTTAGATGTTTCCCAAAAGTTATATATAAATTTGAAAATACAGAAAGTACTGCAAATAAATGCTCTGTCATAGAAATGTGAAAAAAAAATGTATACCTTGAATGTGATCCCACACCATCATTTCTTAAGCCCTTTAGTCTCCATCTTCATCCCCCTTACACAGATCAACCAAATGGGAAACTTGTCCATTGCCCATTGACCACCTTGATAGGAGGCTTTTACTTAGGACACCTTATTTTAAAGACTGGTATAAAACAAACACTTTAATAATGTGCTTTAGGGACAGAAGTCATTGTTTGTACCTTGAGAACACAGCCTTTTCTGATCAACTGGCTAATGATTCCTGAATGTGTGAGGGCCACAAAACAATAGGTACAGAGATGTAATTCTAATGTTAAATAGACAGAAGTTCTGAGTAGTAAGGCATTCTAGAGATTGTCACATCCAACTTTCTCTTATGATAGATGAGATGACTCAAGCCCAGACAAAGAAAGGAGTCAGACTTCGGTGGTTGAACCATTCACTATTTATATTGCTCCCTACATTGATGCCATGATTGAAAGTGTCTTGTAATTTGCTTAACTGCTCATATGATTATAATAATATTCCTACCAATTCCTGTTAGTTTTGGTGCAATACAAAACCAGATTGACTTAAAAATATAAAATCCCACCCTACCTATACTAGTAGAGTTGGACATATCTCAGAAATTTTCATTACTTATCAGTCCACTATGTGATTATACTGCATGTGATCTGGGATTCACCGGGAATCACTAGACTGGAGTCTTTTTCAAGTTTCCACCAGTTGCTTTGGAATTTCACAATATATCTGGCAAGAATGCAGGTCAGCTGAGTGAGAATGAGTGGAACTTTCAGTTATTGGGGTAGCCCATTAAAGCAACAAGTCAAAATGAGAGTTAAGCCTTTAATCATCCAGTGATAACCACCAGCATAGACATGGGGCTTGTCTCATTTCTGAGAGCCCAAATGACAGATCTCAGCAGTTTTATGAACCTTGCAGTTATGTATGTATTACTGTACTTGTAAATAATAACTGCTTAATAGAGGATAAAATTGGAAAAGTGCCTTTAGGGTTTATACATTATCTTCCATAAGGAAATCTTGACAGAAGTACCTCAAGAAGACTTTGAAGCAAGTCTCCTACAGAGAGACTTTAGAATAAAGGAATTTGCCCTGGCAGGGGCTGGGGTGTGAGGGAATGGGGTGGGCAGGCTAAGAATGTACTTGAGAAAAGTTCAGAAGAGGTCAGGGAGCTAAAGACTTGACTGCAACTTCAAAGGCCACAGTACAATGGCTCTGGACCAGGGCTGGTTCAAACATAGGTAGCTTTTGTTAGAAGTCTCATCAATGAAAGCCTTCCTAATTCCAAATGGTTATGCCTGGGAGATCATACACAAGTCTTTAAACAGTACCCAGGGTATTGATTAACTGATACATTATTGGCTCTGGGGAGAAAGCAGCAAATTGAGTCAGATTTCCATGATTCTTCAGCCTCATGGTAAGAAAGAACCTTTGAGAAATATGCATTATTTATTAAATAATGCTTGATTTCACAAGAGGGAAACAACACAGCTCACAAAACAATGAAATACTTAAGGTCTTGAAACAGTCTAATGACTAACAGCAGTAAGCTTCAAAATTATATCAGAATATTTAACATAGGCAACTTTTTATTCACTGGCATTATTTACAATACTCGTCTTTATTATTTTTTATTATAGTATGGTTACATGATTTTCTCCTTTCTTTTTCTCCCTCAAAATCTTCCCATACACCCTCATTACTCTTTCAAATTCATGACCTCTTTTTTAATTATATAATGTCACTTGTATGCATGTTTTCAAGGCAATTGTACTTTTTCCAGGAAGACTATTTTTTCCTTCTCTCAGTATTCATTGGGTGTCTGTAGCTTTTTGTGTAGGATTGAGGCCTCATAGATTTTCATTGGTCCACTTTGATATGTCTATTATTTTTGTCCTTGTGTAGCTCATGTAAAGTAGTCATGCTGGGGAGACTTTATGTGTGTAGCTTAAATATTTTATTACATTCATTTGGTAGATGTATGTGTCACAGAGCACAAACATGTTGAGGTCAAAGGACACCTTGCAGGAGTCAGTTCTCTCTTCTTCCACCATGCTGGGGATAGCATTCAGATCAACAGGTGTGATGTAAGGTGGTCCTACTTGCTTGCCATTCCCATATACTCTTGAATACTCCAGTGCCTGGCATTCTTCTGTGTGTTTGCTAAGCGTCTGGGAATAAGGTAATAAGTTCTCATTCCTTGTGGCTAAATTCCAGCTAGAGCAGCAGAAAATAAGACACAAAACAAATGGGTTGACCAGTATGTAATAATATGGAGAAAAGAGAAACATCAGAGCAGGATGTGAGCTCCAGGAGCATGTTGCAGGGGTTGGGAGCCTCAGTAGGGTAGTCAAGGAAGGCCTCTACCTATTGTAATACTTTGAGTCTCCAACTTACACATGTTGTTTTTAAATTAATTTTACTGAAACTTCAAAGTTTACCATTTTCTTCAGCAAAAATCCAGAACAATTCCCACTGCCCAAATGGTAAAATCGAAGCTCACTCTGTGGCATTCAGCATTTTCAGTTCTGGCTTAGTTCTCTTCATTGCCTCTTCCCTGCCCTGGCATACAGACTGTGATGTGGCCAGCTGTGCTCCCACATCATGCTGCTGCTGCTCTGGTTGCCATGGACTCCCTTTTAGAAGCTCTATGAACCCTTCAAAATTTACCTCATATATGTCTTCCCAGAAAAGACATTCTCCAGGCTTTCATAGTACATTAAGTTATAAATGCAACATTCAACATACATAGTTATATAAAAGGTTTTTTTAACTGTACTATAAATTTCTTAAGAACTAGAACCACCCCCTTGAATATTCTAATAATATTTAGCACAATACCTTTCAAGAGTAATCTCATGAATTTCTTGTCATCCCTCAATATCTGCCAAGAATCGGGTTTTATAAAGTTCAAGTCTCTTGTATGAAATGGTATAGTTATTGTAAACAACATATGCATGTGTCATATGTTTCAAGTAATTTTCAAATTACTTATAATACCTAATACAATGTAAATCCTATGTTATACTGCACTTTTTAAGGAATGGTAAAAAAGGGAACATATATATATATATATATATACATATATATATATATATACATATATATCAGTACAAGTAAAAAGGTTTTCTTTTGAAATATTTTTGGATCCATGTTTGGTTAAATCCTAAGTATGTGGAACCCAGGACTATGGAGGACAGACTACATTTAAAAAACGACAAGTTTAGTAAGTTTCAAGCCCCAGTTTTTCAAATCTGATTCTTCATATGGAGCTCTGACTACATTTAAAAAACGACAAGTTTAGTAAGTTTCAAGCCCCAGTTTTTCAAATCTGATTCTTCCCATGACAAAAGCAAGGCTTAAGGTGTTAAGGCATTCCATAAACAGAACTAGAGACACAAAGAAAGTCATATTATGTGAATAAATAAATTAAATTCAAAATAAAAATAATCCATGACTCCTCCTCATACCACCAAGGGCTGTGCAGACACCCAGGGTCTGGTCAGCCATCTGAGATTATGTTAGTGTCCGAGAGTCATGCTGTCATCAGGGTCATACTGATCTGGGTAGCCTTTGCTGCCACAGGGGCCATGATAACATCCAGGTCCAAGCTGTTGCCAAGGGCCTTGTGGGTCTGTAGTCCTGGTACAGCAGGGTCTTTGTTGATTTCCATGGCCCATGTTACCACAGAAGGCCATGGGTGTTGAAGCCTGAGGACAGTGCTGAGATGGATCCATCATTTGCTAGCTCTGGAAGATCTGGCCCTGTCCTTCACTGACCACTGCAGCACAAGGGCTAGCCCCACCCCTCACTGGAGAGCCATCCACCCCTTACTACAGGTATGGGAGAGCTGGCCTGCATGGCAGAGCCTAGGAGAGCTGGTTCTGTCCTTCATCTTAAGGGGGAGGTCCCAATGGCCCAGACCAACCAAATTAGCTACCACCCAGATCCACATCCAGGGCTTTAACCTGGCTCACTCCAACATTGACACTATCTATGACCTACAAGGGTGTAAGTGTGTGAAGGGACTGATCCTACAGAACCAATAGCCACAAGGTCTCTATGACTTGTGGCAACAGGAGGATGTCTGAGTAGACTTTCAGTGAGGGTCCAGTGATGATGATGTGAGAGAGGTCTTGAACCAGACCAACAACTTGTTGTAATGAACAGTGAAGCTGAGTGTACAAAAGGATACACTGCATGACACACCACAGCTCCCAATGGCACTAAGATGAATGAAGAAGTGTTGAAAAGGTGGGGAAAATGGAGTGTAGTGGGAATTTTGTTTGTTTATTCATTTAATTTTGTTTTAAATTAATGTTTTTAAATTTTCTTTTGGGGGGATGCTACAGGGGTGAGAGAAAGAGACAAAGGGACTGAGAAATGAGCAGAATTGGGGTACAGAATGTGAAATTCCCAAAGAATCAATAAAAATTATGTAAAAACAAACAAGCCCCCAAAAATGGCTTTAGATAAATATAAATAACTAGAGTTGGGAACAATATTTCACACCTCAACAGTGCTTGAGATTGAATTTTACTGATAGTAAATGTTTAACTTACATGCTGTAGATGATAATTTTTAGTATTGTATTGTATTGTAAGTTCTAAATAAAATAACATTAAGTAATGGAATATATATTTACAACAGGCACTTAATAATCCCTAAAAGGAGATGCTCATTTTTAGCACTTGATTTTATAAGAATACTTCATTTTGTCCCTAAAAGATACTTGGGGTCACTTTCTCTCTAGTCCAAACCTCTCTTGGCGAGATATGCAGCATCTGGTTGTCTGGACCTCTGAGTATGATCCATTGGCTAATAACCCAGGTTGGAAAAAGAATGGTGCAGGCTTAATGGTGAACAGTCGATTTGGATTTGGTTTGCTAAATGCCAAAGCTCTGGTGGATCTGGCTGATCCTAGGACCTGGAGAACTGTGCCTGAGAAGAAAGAATGTGTTGTAAAAGACAATAACTTTGAGCCTAGGTAAGTAGCTCCAAGAATTTCAAACAACTATATCCCCAAAGCACGGTCTTATTAAGTTGTTGTCACTTAAGTTTTTCCCATACCCTTGGTCTTATGAAATACATGAGGATGGAGCTTAACAGTGTTCACTTTATCTGTGTCCCTCTGGGGAGTCATGAAAAAAAAACAAAGATCTGCTAGTCAGGTTAACATATTTGTGTTTGCTTCTTGTAGACTACCTACCATGTAGCATTAAGCTTCAGATGTACCACTATTTTATATAACATTAAGACAAAACATCCTGAAACCAAGACCAATCAACAATTAGTTTTGAGATCCTTTCTCAAAAAGAAGTTTGTTTTAAATGCATTTTAGCATTGATGGAATCCAATACTTGCCTACTAGTATTCTCCAAAGTTTCTTTCCAAAGTAGCCCTACTTCATACTGCAGTTCAATGTCATGGATGGATTTTCTTCCAAGTAGGGGCCTTCATGGATTACCTCTGACTCAATGTGTGGTCACGGAAGCAGAACAATGACTGCAATGTTTTTTTTTTTTTGTTATTGGTTTTTTTTGTTTGTTTGTTTTGTTTTTTATCAAGGTGACCATAATGATAATAAAATACCACTCACACAAAGTTCCAGAGCCTGGAAAGCCTGGGAGCATTCCTTGGGAAGGCCTTATACACAAAATTATATTTTTATGAGGATCTTATTGAAATCTTTGTCATGGACCACTTTTGTTGGATGGAAAACAAACCTGTCTGAATTTGATTGTACTGCAATAGCATCGTATCTATATATTTGTATTTATTACCATTTTCTTATGCATTAAATTCATTTATAGATAATTCTGAGCTGAACTCTAATTCAGATAATTATATAACAATAATAAGCCTTGCTGATTATCTGGTCAAGGCATACATACACCTGTGCAACTGTCTCAAACAAACAGAAGGAAGCCTGGAGAGATACATTTTCTTTAACGTGCTTCTCTAATGTATGTAGAGCCCTGAAAGCTAATGGAGAAGTGACTGTTGAAATCCCAACAAGAGCTTGTGAAGGACAAGAAAATGCTATCAAGTCCCTGGAACATGTGCAATTTGAAGCAACAATTGAATATTCTCGTAGAGGAGACCTTCATGTCACACTCACTTCTGCCGCTGGTAACCTTCAACAACCAAGCAATGGTTATAGAACTAAGTCTCCTTATAGGCATTTACAATTCTTTAAAACATGATCATTTTGTTGATAATAGAGTTCTTCTTCCTGCTCATTATCACTGGACCTTAGAGAGACATAGAGTACGACCTGCTCAAGTATGCTAATTAATAAGCTTTTCTGAAGTCACCTGCTTTCAATCTATGCTCATTTCCCTAGGACAAAGACAGAACATTCACTTCTCTTACATGACAGTGATTTTTTTTTTTTATCAGAACTTATAGGTATGTCTGGGTCATTGAAGGAATCAATTGAGCTGGGCGCTGGTGGCACACACCTTTAATCCCAGCACTTGGGAGGCAGAGGCAGGGGGATCTCTGTGAGTTCAAGGCCAGCCTGGTCTCCAGAGCGAGTGCCAGGATAAGCTCCAAAGCTACACAGAGAAACCCTGTCTCAAAAAAACCAAAAAAAAAAAAAGGAATCAATTGAAAAATTGGGAATTGTGACCCATAAAGTTGAGAATAATAATTAAATATTCACAGAGATATGAATAAGAATATATGATAATGTAGACTGTACCTTATTCCTGACAGAGTCCTAGTGAAGATGAGTTAAGGACTGTTGAGCCATAAACCACAAGCCAACCAAAAGTTGTCCCTGTATATTTAAGTATGTTGGTGGGCTGTGAGAGAGGCAACAGGCAAAGATCCTGGCCACTAACCCTGATGGCTGGAGCTCCATCCCTGAAATCCATGTGATAGAAGGCAAGAACTGACTCCTATAAGTTGTCCTCTGAACTCCACACATGTACCATGGTTCACAGACATATATACATAAGCACCCAAACACACACACACACACACACACACACACACACACACACATTACACACAAGTAAATAAATAAAAATATAATTAAAAGCTTCCTACAAAGTATTCTGATAAGATTCAGTCGAATAATTTCAGTTTCCATAGACTATAGACAAAGAAAGATGAGCTGGGTGACTCTATGATCTTTCCAGCATATGAAGTCTTGGAGCTTGGAGTAAGCTCTACTGAGAGTTGTATTTTCTAGATGCCTTGGGGTTTGCCTGAAATACTACTAAGATTCCTATACCATCCCATTGACAGACTATAGTTGACTTAATCCCACCTTTCATTCCCAGTTTCTAAATGCTAGAGTGAATCCTATTATCAGTCTGTAAGGTTAGGATATTCACTGACTTATGTTTGTTGTATGAAATTAGGAACCAGCACCGTACTGTTGGCTGAGAGGGAGCGGGATACATCCCCCAATGGCTTTAAGAATTGGGACTTCATGTCTGTTCACACATGGGGAGAGAATCCTGTAGGCACCTGGACATTGAAAATTACAGATCTGGTAAGCATGAATAAGAAGACAAAGAAACCAAGCTCATTTTCAAATACTTTGAAGTATTTTAAAATGTTGATGGCATCACTAGTTAGGTCCTATATTGGTAGCTTTTGAGTCCTGCTCAAAACTACATCCAGGGTTCAGGTCAGAGGCCACAGCATGGTGAATAGAACTTAGAAAATTTCTAATCTGAGGAGTTACAGAATAACTCACCCATGTCATGGTCTCTATTCTTCTCTTGGCTCTAATTCTCCCTCTGCAGCTTCTAGTTTTCCTTTGTTTCAATCCTCCCTAGCTTCTTGTTCATCTAGCCTAAATACACTTTTTATAGGAGGCTTGAAGCAATAATAAAAATAAACTGTAAGAGTTACATGGAGCACATTAATTTGGGTGAGTGATAAGGGCAGAGTCCTTTACTGATGGGGAGTACTGTGTATGTTTATCTTATTGATTGTTAAATAAAATACTGTTTGGCCAATGAGACAGCAAGTTAGACGGGACTAGAAGAGAAAGAGGATTCTGGGAAATGTAGTAGAGAAGTGGTGATTCAGGCAGGAAGTGACATAGCAAGGAGACTCATATTTACGCAAAGGAGAAACAGGAAGGGCCCCTCTTTTCGCCTCTGCTCCTGCTCCAGTGGCACAATGTGATCCACTGGCAAGGAGGGATGCCAATAAAGCATCCAATAATTCTTATAATATATATAGATTTATGATAATCAAGACTGAGCTAACAGATGAGGAATCCTTGTCATTGGCCAAACAGTATTTCATTTAACAATCAATAAAATAAACATGCACCGTACATTTCCCATCACTTTACCATTGCAATGCAAAGTTTCAAGGTTTCTGGTTTAAGACTGTGATGAGAGAGTGGGGACACAGTGCCTAGTGAGACAAACTGTGAGACATAGGTCTTTTATCAATGACACTTGCCAAGCAAAGAATTGTAATTATTATTTTTAGGTTGCTTTGTGTTAATAACCTGGGTTAGACACCTGCAACTCTGACCTTGTGCATGAATGTAAAGTTTTAAACATATGGTCTATTTACAAAACCCTTCAGTCTGGTTTGAACTTGCTCTGAGGTAAAAATGAGCTAATTGTGTGAATTGTTGTCTTAGACAGGAGAAATTATGTTCTTGTGTTAGTTTGAGTAAAAGGAACAAAGCAGGCTTTTAAGTGTCTTATAGTCTTTGTGGGACAATAGATCTAGTTATGAAATATATCCTAGCATATTTTCTACATATCAAAATCATACAGTTCATGAGAATTCATCTTCCTGATAATCCACAGATATATGTGCCCATAAGATTGAGATATAATTATGAGATCACATATATACACCACAGGAGATTACACACTACAATGCAGGGATTGGGGAGACACCAAAGCTGCTTTTGCACATGTGAAACTACAGACAAGAGCAACAGCTTCCCGAGTCCATGTTTCTATAGGCCTTGCCCAGATGGGATTCTCCTCCAACAGGGAATCACTTATTTGTTGGGTTGACATCTGAACACTAGTTATCACCTGCTGTATACTTCCACAGCCCTCAACAGTCCTAATGATCTTGACCTGTCCACTTCCTAGAAGAGAAAAGATAAAAGTTTAAGTTTGCCCTGACCACTTATAGACAATAATTATAAGAAACTGCTAAACTCAGTCATGCTGTAAGGGAGGAGAAAAGGTATGCCGATTAGAATTATGTGTTATCACAGAGACAGCCAGGTGTAAGGGCACCTTTGCTATGATACCTTGCTGGAGTCAAAGATAGCACCCTTATAGCTCTTCTGCTGCTCTCATTGAGTAACAGCTTCCTGTTTCAGGTTAAGCAAGACATTGTATTTAATATCTTTCTTCTACTTTTAATAACAAAAAATGTACTACAATTCTCAAAAAAATTTATTTCTAAAGCTCAAATAATACTCAAAAGCATAACAATCTTAGAGCATTACAGACTTTGTTTGTAGAACTGGGAAATTCAACTGGTAAATCCTGTATAAACACTTTAAGCCCAGAAAGATTTGGAAATCTCAAATACTTCTGGTTCCCAGCATTTTGGATAATAAATCTGTGCTAACACTCTTTGACATGCCTTAAAGTACACAGGATGATATGGCAGGGCTGTATCTGATGTGAAACCAAATAGCTGAATTCTTTGTTCCTGGACCACTCTCCTGCTTTCTCTGAAGGTCAGATGTAAATGGATGATTCTATCTTTGAGTTCTGAGAGAAAAGTGTAAGGACCAGCAGTGCAGATCTCTTAGCTTAGATAATTTTCAAAGATAAGTCAGTTTAAACTTCTAAAGATGCCAATTAATGCAAATTATATATTTTCTACCATTTCTCTGAGAATAGCTTTCTTCTATAGATCTTTGAGACAGGACTAGCAAGATGGCTCAGTAGTTAAAGACATTTTCCATCAAGCTGAGGCTGACTCTTTGAGTTTGATCCCTGGACACATTGTTGAAGAAGAGAATCAGCTCACACAACTTGTCTGTGACCTCCATACATGTTCTTTGTCACAACTGTGAATGCGCATACATATATACACAGAATCAATCAATCATAGTTTAGAAAATGAAGACTTAGTGTGTTATGTTCTAATAGGAAGAGAGTAGTATTTTTACTTATTAGTCCCATTCTTGAACTTGTACTCACTTCTTAAAAAGAAAGATTGTATGTGTATGTGTGCTGCCTGCCTGTATGTATGTATGTATGTATGTATGTATGTATGTATGTATGTATGTATGTATGTGTGTATACCACATTCCTGTCTGGTATACAAGTTGGCCAAAAGAGGATGATGGATCCCCCAGAATTAGAGTTACAGAGGGTTATGAACTGCCGAGTGGGTGCTGAACTAAATCCAGATCCTCTGGAAGAGAAGCCCATGTTCTTAATCACCAAGCCACATTTCCAGCCTCTCCTCAATTCTTTAGCTCAGTTTCAGCTTTCAGAAACAAAGTTACTCTATTTACCAAGATGGATCCACTTCATGTCAAGTCTATACAATCTGACCCACACTGTTTTAGATATTTGACTCACAGATGCTTCAGAGACAATTAGCTTGTGAAGAACAGAACAAATGTGACAAAATGGATTTACCAGGGAACTGTACTTTTACAATTAGATACTTGAGTGTGAGGTAATAAATCAGCTTTTTAAAATATTGTACTTACATAGTATCAGTTTTTATAAGTGGTTCCTTTCAAAATAGATCTTTGAACATGAAATGCACAACACCTTAAAATTAGATTTTAGCTATAAGATTGTTTTGGCAATCTAAATGAGTTTGTTTTATATTTGAAACACAAACTAAAAGACACACATACCTGTTTTTGCCAGTCTGGAAGAATGCAAAACGAAGGCAGGATTGTGAACTGGAAGCTGATTTTGCATGGGACCTCTTCTCAGCCAGAGCACATGAAACAGCCCCGTGTGTACACGTCCTACAACACTGTCCAGAATGACAGGAGAGGAGTAGAGAAGATGGTGAATGTCATGGAGGTCTGTGTAGCTCTGTTCTTGGCATGTTCTCCCTTGAACAGTAGTAAACAATGAGTGAGTAAAGATGCATCTAATTTTTAGGAAGGGAAGAATTCATGTATGCATAGAGAAAAAGGCTTGGGAGAGAAAAAAATTTTCCAACTGGATGAATCCTTGTTGTTTCTTTTGTTCTTAAATCTAGAGTTTATTAAAGTTGATGAACATTAAATTCTGTAACATGAATTTTATTCATGTATGACAGCATATTGCAAATCAAGCTGTGGTTTACATGTTACATATACCTATTATGGCATATTGTGTAGTATTATATTGCAGTGTAATTATTCAATCTTAGCTGAGTGGTGGTGATGCACACCTTTAATCCCAGTATTCAGGAGGCAAATCTCTGAGTTCAAGGACAGTGTGGTCTACAGAGCAAGTTCCAGGGTGGCCAGAGCTACACAGAGAAACCCTGTCTTGAAAAACCAAAATATAAATTTAAAAAAGAATGTTCAATCTTATTTCATTTTAACTATAATCTGTGTAACCTAGACAAAAAATATTTAAAGAAAGGAGACCAAATTTAGGCAGTCAAAACATGTAAGTTTCTCTTTGCTAATTTCTCTTTAGTGAATTGGCACTCAGCTGACATGCCGTGTCATCATAAAGAGTTATGAAATCACAATTTCTCTCAGAAAATTTCAGAGGGTAGCCAATGTTATCCTGGGTTCAGGGCTTTGCCCTTTTTAGAAAGCATGAAGAAACTGCATCTGTTTCCCTACATGACCAGCATCTAACATAGTGCTTCTGCTGTAGGAAGGGTTTTAGGATCTCTGGATGTGCTGTCCTAAATAGGTCTCTCTGCTCGATGTTTTAGAAGGTTTCGAGGCATGACATTTACATGAGGAATTTATAAACTAACTTTGAGGAAGCCTCATCTAGGGTTCTGGCCCTGTTTTTATTCTACTAAGCAGAATCCAGGAGCAAGTTCTCCACAGTAACTGAGGAGAGTTCACACTGTGAGTGTTTCTCCAAGATTCCTTTCAAAATATAAACAGGACTTTTCCGTGTTAAAATATTGAAATATGATCAGTCCTTCATAGAGTGGGGTCTAGATTCTTGTTGTCAACCATGTATGGATCAAAAAACCTTTGAACCAACTGCCTCTGTACTGAACATGTATAGACTTACTTTCCTGTATCTATTACCTCCAATAATGCAGTCTAACAAGTCTTAGCATTGTATTAAGTATTACAAATCAGCTAGAGAAGATAGTGTATTCTGGAGGATGTGTAGGTTATTTACCAATACCTTCCATTATATGCAAAGGATTGAGCAGCCATTGATTTTGGTATCATGGAAAGTCCTAGAGAACAACTGTATTTCCATAATAGTTGACAAAGAGCCTCTTCTCAGATCTCTCTCCCTAAGGATCTTCTCAGAATCCTCTAGTCAACGGCATTTGTACACAACAACCAACTTATGCTTTACAAGCGAGTAGTTAAATATTTAATATCATTTCCCCAAATGGATTAGATTGTAGCAGGCTTGAAAGTGAAGGAAAACAGCATATTGAATACATAATTGTATAGTCTCAAACTCCAAAATCACCAGACATGGAAGAATTGTGATTTCTACTTTATAGCTAGAATTCTGGGAGATGGAAAAAGCTGCCAAAGGTAAACCGTTAAAGGGGAAAATAGGTGCTGAAATACAAACCCATGTAATCTGAAGCCTTGTGTTCTCTCTACTCTCCAAATTGCTTCTCAAGTGTCGTGGGCCCGTGTTAGGGCTGCAGCTCGCTTTCCTGCTGTAAATAATGAGCTTTTTCCCTTTGTTGATGACATTTTATATTTCAGGAGCAGCCCACACAAAAGAGCCTGAATGACAGTCTTCTGGTGCCCCAAAGCTCCAGCAGCAGCAGTGTGGAGGGCAGAAGGGACAAGCTGGCACAAGGGGCTCCTTCAGAGGCTGTGCTATGGCTCCTACAAAGTGCTTTTAGCAAAAACCCACCTTCAAAGCAATCACCAAAGAAGTCTCCAGGTGCAAAGCTCAGCATCCCTTATGAGAGTTTCTATGAAGCCCTGGAAAAGCTAAACAAACCCTCCCAGCTCAAAGACTCTGAGGACAGTCTGTACAGCGACTATGTTGATGTTTTCTATAATACAAAACCTTATAAGCATAGAGATGACAGGCTGCTGCAAGCTCTTGTGGACATTCTGAATGAGGAAAATTAATAAGGGTGTGGTCCCAAGTTGGAAATATCCATGCATCCTCCTTCCCCCTTAGATGTTCCTGGGTGTGGAATTGTGTCACTGATTCCTATGCTTATAATGTCCTTTGTGGTACTTTTGCTTTTTCTCCTCAAACTATACATTGGGGTGAGTTCCAAGAGGAAAGGCAACTTTCTGAATGGGTCTCAGTGTTTAAGAATGTCTTCCCTATCATATGAGTAGAGCAGGTCTTTGTAAAGTCCCTGTTGACATGCAGCCCTTTACCCAGTGGAATGGCTCCTTCAGCCTCCCCATTTCATATCTCACAAGAACAGGAAAAGACTGAGAAATGCGTTTTAATTTGGAAAAGTCATCTACCAAGGTGGGGGTCTACAGCTTATCTTGTTCCCTATTTTTGCAATGGGGTCCTTTGAAAATGAAAGTTCACAACTAGGTCCGTACTCTAGGCCTCTCTACACCATGTGTTACTTATGCTGCGGCTGCTGATCTGATGGTTTTAGAGGGGGCGGAATAAAATGCATTATTTAGATGCAAAACAGATCTTAAATTTTACATTAGCTAGGACAGTTATAGAATATTCTTCTTGATTGGTGTACCATGAAGAGATCTCTGTGGATCCAAAGATGAATGTGACTCCTGCTGTCTATGGCCTGGCCTTCTGTTTCCCTTTCTGCCTCACATGTTGTCTGTTTCCTTTCTGAGCCACAAACTCAAAACTCAAAGAACTAATTTATGCCATTTTCTCAGAACAAAATTATGCTTGAGGTTGTCAAATTCCTAGTCATAGTTTTGTTCAATAACAAGCAGCCACTCAATGGAGAACCAATGTAATACCAGAGAAAACATTGAATGAGACATTTCTCACAAGTTGTGTTCTTAGGACAGGCTCTCCTGGTTCTCTGTAAATGAGTGTTCATTTCTGGACACTACAGGGTCTTCTTCCATCTCAGTGGATAGTATTCAAATTCTTACCAAATTGCTTCCATGGTTCTAATCAGAAAACAGATGGGCAGCACTTAGGTCTTATTTGTCCTTCCTGTAACTTATGCAGGATGTTTTGATAATGTGAAGGGCTGTTCAAAGTGTGAGATTTCACATAAAATCTGATTTTCATACCCATCTTCTATCATGGCAATAGCTAGCTAGAGGTAACACCTCCCTAGTAAGAGTCTAAGTCTGGACTTCCCTGGCTGGCCTTTTGACAATGGCCTCTTTATTTGTTACTACTCAGTAACATTTTATCCATTTTAAATTAAAGTATGTAGAAAAATAAGGTTTCATTTTGACATTTTCCTACAAGTATTCATGTACTTGGAAAATGTCCATCCCCCATTAACCTGTCTTCTGCCTGTCTCCACTTGTCCTCCTCCTCTTCACATGTACTCCTGCTTCCAATTTCTGTCTTTTCATTTAATCCAGACTCCTCATAGAAAAAAAATGTGATTTTTGTCTTTCTATGCATGTGATTTTGCCCACTCCCACACTAAATGAATCTGTATAAAGTGTAAATGCATTAAGAAAAGGATTTCCCACAATTACTTCCAGGCACACTCTGCCATTAATAATTGAGTTTGCTATGACCTAGTTAGTTTGTTGTAGTTATAAGTAAAAAGAGTACTTGGAGCCCTAAAAATACCTCTCAAGTTTTCTTTAATATGAGCACACCTGGTATTCATTGTACTGTTCATTAACTGGAGACCCCTGCTTCCTTCTTTTAACATGCCAATATAGACTCTAGTTGACTGTATGCCTTCATTCTCCAACTGAGTTTCGGTTTGTAAATTTTCTACAGTGTGAGCATCCTACAGCAAGTCCTAGCATTGAACTGTTCAGAAAGACAGTTCGTTTGCTTTTGCTTTGAGTGTAGTTGGTATGACAAATTTCACCTGCTGTTTCTTCATGTGATTTTGTACATACCAGGCTCTCTCCAGAGCCTTGCCTATGATGTCTAGAAGGTTTGCAGTAGCCGTGTGCTTGAAGGTTTTACACTGTGTTTGCTATGAGGTTTAATGGAATTATCACATTAAAACAGGAAAAGACTTAAGAGTTTTACATTAAATTTCAGCTGGAGGAGGATATCTCTAATTGGCAATTAGTGATTTAAAACAATGAAAGAGTTGGAAGTCAACCCCATCCTTTCCTAGTCCTTATACTAAACATAGGGAAATTTTCTTCAACTCTTTCTAATAGTATCTTTTCCCTGTAAGAACCCCAACCAACTCATGGGCTATAGCCAAAGGTTCACTCTGGATAAGCTTTAATATTTAGACAATACCATGTTTGAATGTTTCCAACCTGGAGTATATATTGTCTAGACATAAAATATTTTTGTCAGTCTTTCTTAGTGCCTATGTGGATTTTTGTGAAAATGTTAAAAATGATAATTATATAATATTCCCCTTGGAATTTTAAGCTATATTTTCTTTACAGGTATTTATAATGCACCACTGCTTTTATCAAACAGAATTTTAAAAGGCATAATAAATTATATTAAAGAATAAAAAGCTTTCATGAGAATAAGAATGTTTCATCCAATAAAATATTTTTGAAAGGCATGTCCCTTTGTGAATGGGAAAGTATGTATGTATGTATGTGTTTGTATGTATGTATAAAAGTATATGTATATATGTGCGTATGTATGTATGTGTTGTGACACTAAAAATTATGTTTATCTAATGTCCTAATGCAATGTACAACTGAGTCTAACATGGTCTTAGAATTCTTAATGGAACTCCTACTACACACTTGATGTATTAATCAGAATATGTAAAATATACTTATAAATAAGAAGAATAAATGGTTCCTCACTAAGTCAAAAAGGGAAAGCTCATGTTTCCAACAAAAATAGGTTCTCTATTTTCCACAATATGTTTTCCAAATGGACTTTAGAAAACAGGAAGTTTACATTAAAATGTTGATTAACTAATTTTTAGGAAGCCAGGCTTTCTTAGAAGCAAGATAAGTACCTACTTGAATAGGCACATTTCATTTTTCTACCCAACCAGGATTTCATGTTCATGATAACACAAACACACTGTGTGACTGAGCCTTTAACTGAGGTGTCGAAGAGGGGAAAAGGCAGGTGAAACTGAGAAGACTTACTGACTCAGAGAAATCTTTTGTGGCAATTCAGTTTATAGGCCAAAGCAAAGCAGCCAAGCTGTGGCCCCTTCTTCTAAGATGTCCCTTGATCTAGCCTCCAGTCTCCATTCTCCTTCGCACTGCACATCCCTCGAAATCCTACAGCTCAGAAACAGACCCTTCTGTCCCTGAAGATGGGGTTTCCCTGACAACCAACCCCCCTTTCCTAAGAGATCAGTCATTTAAAGGAAAATAACACCTCAAGTATTCCAGAGGGACTGTTCAAACAAGGCTCCATCCTCCTAGTCCAGACAGTGTGAGTCCCTGTGTTAAGCACCATCCATTGCACAAAAACTCTTCTCTGATGATGGCTCAGAGCTGCACTGCGTAGAGGAATATGAATTTAAAGGTACTATTATGTCTATTTAACAAAAAAATAGTAGCGGGTTTACTCCCAAGGCTGTGAGTTTACAGGTGCAGTGGCCCTGTCATGTCCAGAAGACACTGTCTCAGAGGATGGAGCACTCTTCCATAATGGCTCTGAATCTTTGTAGTGCCATATACATATATTTTCTCCTGTGAAGCAGGCCTTAATCCAATTACAAAGTGATTGGTTATACTCATAACATTTGGGAAAACTATTGTACCCAAGGTGATATTTTCTAATTTTAAGGGATGATTTAATCTTATAAACTATTCAAATAATGTATGAACACATTATTACAATACAAAATTTAAAATACAGAAGTATGTACTATGCAAACTGATGGTTCATTAGACAGATACACCCCTGCCCCAGTCCAAGACACTTCCAAGCTATAGCTAGCAATTTAAGTAAAGTTTCTCTAAAATAAACATTACAATAAAATTAAAATTCTGTGTAAAAATGAAATGAGATATATAAATATGGTCCTTACCTTTTAGAAACTTATTATCCATCAATTTAGATGCCCATCAACTGATAAATGGATAGAGAAAACATTGCACATATAGACAATGGTTTATTAATCAGTTGAAATGAAAACTGAAATCTTGAAATTTCCAGGTGGGTAAGGATAGAACTAGAAAAAACAAATTTACTGATTGAGGTCACTCGGGCCCCTGGGAGAAATGCCTCATGTTCTCTCTCATATGAGAGTTTTGGCCTCAAATCTTTTGTTTTATGTATTTAAAATTAACATGGAGTAGCTATGTAAGGTGAGAAACTAGAAATAAGTACTGACAGATTGATGCATTTGATGTAATAGGAGATAGTAGAAAACATTATGGTTTGATAAAGCTATCCTGGTGATCAGAATGCAAAGCCAGCTACACTAGTTACCATAGAAGCTGAGCAGTGATGGCACACACCTTTAATCTCCAAACTCAGGAGGTAGAGGCAGATGGATCTCTCTGAGTTCAGGGTCACCCAGGGCAACACAAGACTAAATCAGTCTAAAAGAGAAATAGATCTCACCCCTTCAATCCCAGCACTAGAGAGGTATATAAGGAGCTCAGTGCAGTCTCAGAGAGCAGTCTAGATTCTGAGGGTTAGTGAAGAGCAGTGCAGTCTTGAGATGTAATATGAAGTTCTGTGGATCACCCCTTTGGTCTGAGCATTGGTAGAGGTGAGAACTCTATAGTGGCTGGCTGCTTTGCTTTTCTCATCTTCAGCTTGAAACCCTATCTGTCTCTGGGCTTTTATTATTCGAGCTACAGAGACCAGGAATATGGGGCAGAAGAGTTCAAGCAGGTAGTGATGTAACTGTGCTGTGAAACTGAGGGCTAGGTGAAAGCTTACACAAATAAAATATTGGGGTTGAAGAGATGGCTCAGCAGTTTAGAGTGTTTTCTGTTGTTTCAGAGGACCAGAATTTGACCTAGCACCTCCATCAAGCAGCTCACAAATCTCCAAGGAATCTGATGCCTGCTATGGCCTCAAGGGGTACCTGCACACATATGTGTGAATACACACACCAATGACATAAAACAAATCTTTAGAAAAATAAAGTGCCCATGAAGAATCTATTTTGGGAATGTGTTCTTGAAAACCAACTAAAAAACATAATAAGATTGATAGTAGTACAGATGTGATATGAAAAACATGAGAGAATTCTGAGAGCCAAAGATTTAGACAGGGATGGAGACAGAGGATGAGCAACAGAGTGACAAGGGGGAAGTTAACCCAAACTAAGTATGTATCAAGAGGCCTTATGAAACCCCACTAGTTTGTAAAGCTAAATAAAAGTATGAAATTTTAAAAAAGAGTTTAAGTAGAGTTATTCCACATTAATGAACTATGATATTCCCAGAAGGCCTGGGTTATTAAAAGAAAATCTAGGTACAAGGCATAGGTCACCTCCCTTTGAGTTATTTCTTGGAGAGGCCTCCAGAGACATCCAAAACAATATAGACTATTGCTATTGCTCTTAGTTTTCCACCATAACTAGATCATAAGACCTTATTTCTCCAGACACCACACATTTTGTTGCATATTACAGAAAATTTAATGTTTAACTGACCAAGAAAATTCTGTGTTGGCTCAAGGCTACTGGGGAAGAAAAGATATTAATGCTCTTATCCAGTGGTGGACTTTGAATGCTATACTATGGAACGGCCAAGAAAGGTGCAGCAATACTGTTTACAGGGTAACAATCTACTATCTTGGTTGGATTTAGGCATACTCCACAGAGGAATTCATTTTTCATACTAGAAAACCCATAGCTAGGAAGGTCATAGACCTTAAGAGAGTAATTATTGATTTTGTTGCTATAAATGATTGTGTTGTTAAACTGCCTTCTAAATGTTTATGTTTACATACATAGATTTGTGCTGCTACTAACCTCAGTCAGAGAAGTGCTTAGTTGTGCTGGATAGTGGTTAATTTCAAAGGTATGTTAAGTGTTCACAGTGCTGAAAGAGTTGACTGTGAGTGGTCAGCCACAGATGGAGCACCTATATCAACTCTCTTCTCTGAAGGCTCAAAGAGCATCATGGGACAGGGGGTGGCAAGAATGAGCCAGAGGATAGGGAAGAATGCTGTGAAGTACGTTCCCTGGACATGTCATATCTGTTGAACATATGCACTCACAACAGATGTGGTTACTGAGACAAGATCTGTACAAGATCAAGCCAGTTAAAAACACCAGCATAGATTGGGGAGGGTATACAAAAGGTCCAGCCCTAGCTGAAGAGCTATTGGTAATGCTGGCTGCTTGGAAAGGAAGTTACCTTTCTGTGTCAATAGGACTACTGGTCGGCTTCACATACCTCCACTGATGATCTCACATCCATACACATGTGGGCAGCACTAACTGAACTCAGAGGGTTAAACCTAATCAATAAAAGTTCAAAATGGCTTATGTTTTTTATTAGCACACAAATAAACAGGTTTCATTTTCCATGTGTACTTTGTGTTGGTCAATTCTCTAACAAATTGATAACTCTTTTCTCTAAAGCCAACAAAGGATAAAATGTCAGAATAAATGGGAAAGAAATAGAAACACTGTGAAATCTCTCTAGCTAGTATGTCATTGTCTTGGATATTATCATCCCACTGTGACCCTAAGGCTATCCTGGCACTGTTTAGTCATAGGCAATGTAGATTGTACTCCAATGACAGGGAGTAGGAAGGTATAGCTGAGTTCCCATGACCAAAGAAATTCCAAGGCAGCCAGTAAGGAGAAAGAACATAAGGAATGAAATAATATTCTTAATTTTGTATTATTCTTAATTACTTTTGTGGGAGAGTCATAGTGTCATTTTCAAACATAAAAGATTTATAAATCATTATTAACCATGGAGAGCATGGGTTCTTAACTACAGTCACAGCACAGTGCATTTTTAATTGAATTCTCACAAGATTTGGAAAACAAGTATGAAACAAATGGTATTATTCCTAGTTTGTACACTATAAAATTGAGGTATGGGGAGGTATTCTGGTATGTTCAAGGTCACACAGATGGTGAGTAGAACAGTTGTGTGTTTAATGTGGCAGTAATTCTAATCTCAGGATATGTCTTGCAGTAGCAATACACAGAGTTCATGCTTATTTTAAAAGGTATTTATATGATGAGTCAAGTCAGAACCAGGAGATTGAAACTATTATTTCTTTTCTATTATTTGAAATTGTAGATGGAAGTTTCTGTCCTGCCTAATCCCACAGCCACTCAGTCCCAAATGAACACACTGAGGCTACTGAATATTTGCCATGATCTGAACATGCAAATTCCACATTTTCACAATAATTGCATATTACTTCCTGAGAATAAGTTATAGTATTTAAAATGTTTGCATTATCTTACAAGTGTTTTACAAATACAGAAACTGAGAAAGATTAAGCATCTTAACATGGAACACAGCTAAGCAAGTATTTTGAAAAAGATTTGATTTCATCTTGTTTATGTTTGAGCTTCATTTCTCTTGATAAATAATCTCATGATTTCAAAAACAACAAGGTAGGCTTTATTCTGTTTCATTACTTCAAAAGTTATAAATTCCAGTAAAACTACAAGAAAAGCAGATATTCTGTTACCTCCATCGGAGTGGCCTGTGGGTGTACCTCTGGGGCACTTTCTTAACTGATGTAGGAGGAGTCGGCCCACTGTGTATGGTATAAGCACTAGGCA